AATTAACATGATAGCAAGTAAAATGTAAAAAAATGTGTTACCTTGTTGCACAGGAGATTTGACTGCACCAGCTATTGCAACGTCTTCAGGTACATTTCCCTCATCCATACTCTCTACTGTAATATAAAATGTCACTAAATGTATATGGTAATAAATAATAATAAATCGCCTTTTTTTTTACAGCAGCTTAGACACTCACAATATTCATTGCCATCACCAAAGAAATTGTTCCCATAATCTGCAGTTATTTCTTGTCCTGTAGTTATTAATTTTGTTGTTTTTGCACACCACAATGATTCTCCCAAATGGGCCCAGTTTGTATTTGGTGAGCAATCATGGTTTATGTACGCCGCAGGCCCTAGAAATATCATATCCCTTCCGTTTTTTGATGACCGCATTATCGAAAAGTCATTAATACCTTCCTGTAGGGCAAAAAAATTAAACTTAAAAAATTTGAATCAAAACATAAATATGTTGTTAGTAGTAGTTCTAGTTAGGCAAAACATACGTGAATGTCTTCAGGTCTGATTACTGCGGTCCTACCGCATAAGGTTTTAATTTGTTGACCAATGTCTAGATTTGTCGTCGCCACTATTTTGACGTCATTTTTTTTATTTTTATAATTATTGTTCTTGGCGTACTTATATCTATGATCATTAATTGAGTGTTCGTACATGATCCTCTGATCGTTAAATATATCTTTCTCACGTTTGGTTTTTAATTCAAATTGTTCAGCACGAGTCTTGTGCGTTTCGAACCCTATAAAAGTTAAAATTTAACGTAAGGTGATTGAATGAAGTACAAAAGCCGGCTAAAAGATATTATTAGTAATCCTGTCGCCGCACGCCGACAACGACGGCGGCGCGGTTGACACAGCGGGTGGTGGTGGGGGACAAAGACGTAGATAATCTCGATAAACCGATTGCTTACTAATAATACGAATTACTAATACGATATACTGCATACTAAAGTTTGTTAGCATACTTAAAACTTATAAAATATTAGAACGTGTATAAGCTATTTGTATTCCTACAATAGTTCACATAATTTTTTWAAAAAAATGTATAATCCTTATAAATAAAATAAATTAATTTGAAATTTTATTTATATTTTTTCTGCAAATATTCCTAAGTATTTATTTTTTTTTTTTAGAAATTGTATTTATTGTTTTTTTGCAAATATTCCTAAGTATTAGTTGTTCATTATTTTCAATTTTATAATAGATACGTATAGGTTTAAAATTAATTAAAAATCATGATTTTGTACTACAAAATATTAATTAAATATGAATAAAAATATTACCTAGGTGTTTGTCAATGTACTCCGCGGTTGCACAATCGTCGGCCCAGGACAATATATGGGATCTTGGTCTATTTTGAGGCATCTTTGTCTGTTTCAGCAGAAGACAAAATGCAAGGCTCAATCTCGTAGGAGCGCGAGATGGAAAATGAAATTATTAATGGTAATCCTGTTGGCCGTCGACGACGTCGGTGCGCTAGACACGGTTGGTGGTGGGGGAAAATAGACGTTATTAATGTGGAATTCACGATTGAAATACTGCACATAAGACGTACGACGGAGATATCGATATTATTCGCGTTATCGGAATAACTTTTGGGTTTTCTCTGTATTGGCCGACAGGATTACTAAGAATAGAAGTGTACAACCGACAATAATATTTTTTTAAACCATTTTCTGGACAACTCGACCTCACCGCCACTATATGCAAATTTTAAGTACCCAAAATGCATTTCCCAAAAAGGGGACATCCTAACGAAGMCAGAGATGTGCTTGGCTAAGTGGTAGATATATATTTTGATTTTTTATGAATTTTGAACCGAACGTGTCTACCGGAGTAGTCGATATTACGTCTTATAGATACATATCATACGAAATAAAATTACTAAAAATCCAAATTTAGTTCTACAGATTTCAAAATAGTATCCCTCGACTCCAAATGACTTACTCTATACCCACTTGCAGTTTTAAGTCCCCTGGTATGCGAATTAGACTTGTAGTGCAGGTAAAACCAATTATTTTGAAAAGGCGACCTTTGAGCCTGTTGAATTTGACACATATCGTCACTCGTCACTCGTCACTCGTCAATGCATTTTATCGTCATCCAGATTTTGTGTTAATTGTTTTATTKTAATCTGTGGTCACAAATTATTTTATTTATAATTATTATTTTATTCAATTATAATTATTTATTTTATTATAATTTTGAATATATCGATTTTTTTGAATTTATATATTTTTATATTACAAAAATGTACAACCGAAGAACGGAATTTATCGTTAATAATGCTCTAAAAAAACAAATTACGAACAAAAAATATTATAATGTATTTGATTTTCTGAAATTTTCAGATTTTATTGGTAATTACTTTATTTTTATTTTAATAATTATGAATAGTTACTTTATTCTATTAAAAATTAAATATTTATTTAAAAAAAAATATATATATATATATTTATTTAAAAAAAAATATATATATACATATATATATATATTAGATCCACCACAGGAGCCAATTGACTATATATATGAACTACCAGTAAAACAATATTCATTTTCCGATTTTATTGGTGAGTAATTATTTTATAATATTATAAAATATCAAATTTATTTATTATATTATATATTAGAGCAACCCAAAATGCAACCCGAAGAGGCCATGAAACATTTTCAAATTAGGAAAAAAAAAAAAGTTTATGAAAATGTAAGCATAAATCTAGTTTTTTTTTCCAAATTAAWTTTTTTTTCTTATATCTTACAAGGAAAAAACAATTTGTGTTGCGGGTGCTATTTGTTTTGTAAACAATATGATGGACAAAACGTGTGAAAATACAATCAGTGTAGATCCTGAAGATTTAAACAATATTTTAAAAAGTTTTGGTCGGATGATTGATTCTCACAAGTATTTGAGGAATGCTTGTGAAGTGCAATCGAATATATCTGATGGAACAATCTACAATTTTAGTTTATCTAAGAATGTTTGCAGTATAGTTCAAWTTTTGTGTAATAATTCCCCGAACACTGACATCGACGAATTGGCAAAAAAATATGTTTATAGTCAACCTAAATTTGCAAAAAAAAATAAAAATATTAAAAAATTGGCATACCAAGAAGCTAAAAACAAAATTAATAGTGTGCAAGTTAAAAAATTATTTAGCTTAACTGAATTATTCCACAAGTATGTATACTATGATTATACTACCTAAAACCTATAATATTACCTTTACACTTATAATGTTTATTAGAAACTGTAGTAATCTAAAAGAGATAGATTTTCAAATAAGAATTGTATATAAGGAAAACGATAGATTAAATAACATTATTACAAAATTACCAAATATGTTGCCAAATGAACTGTGGTTATATTTGAAACAAAATAATATTACAAATACAAAAGATTATATGAGAATGATGGATTTTTTAATAAACAAAATGAAGGTCGAAGAAACTAATATTTTTATTAACACAGATTTGTGAGTATTAAGCATTCATTATTTAACAATATTTAATAATAATATGGCAATAATTCAACTATTTAAATATTTACAGATGTAGCCTTAAAAATTACTTGAATAATTTTAAAAATATCATTATGTTGTATGTTGAGTGTTGCAAGTTGCAACATATAATAGATTTTATTTATAATACATTTAATATTTATAAGAGACAGGTCATTTGTGGTAATGGACATATATATTATTCTATTATTAAATTTAAATTCCATGAGTTTAGGGAAAAATKTGTACGTTATAATAATTATTTAAAGTTGGATGAAAATTTTGAAGTTAATCCGTAAGTGGTTCAAATAACCAATTTCAATACACAATAACRAAACACGATAACTATACACAATAAACATTTTAACAGGATATGTACAACAGATAAATATGTAGGAGTGGGCACAAAATTATTTAAACTGACAAATAGTACCAAATTTCAATCAGACATATTCACGTACAGCGATGCMATGGTATTACACTTTTTATACATTTTYATGAGTAATACAGCCGCTATCCATGCTACGGTAATAAGTCATCATTTATACTAATATTATATCATTGTTTATAATTTAAATGTAATATACATCATTTTCAGATGCATAATATATGCCAATCATTTAGTTTGGTAATGAACATAATAAATAAGAATGACATATATGATGATTGTCATTCTTTCATATTAAAAACAGTCAAAAAAATTGAGCAGCACAATGGATTAATGAAACATAATTATTATAGTCATTCGGCGTATGTTTATAAAATTAATATTCTTAACCCAAAGATTAAATCAATCATCTTTAACTATGCCTTAAGAAAAGATTGCATAATCAATAGATTTTATTGTTTAACAAAGGAAGAATTGCAAATCAATGCCCACATATATAAAGTAAATATAACTATTTAACTATTAACATGTAAATACTATATGTCTATATGTACAATGATATATTTTATAATAATAATAATAATTATTATTATTACTATTCTTAGATGAATACGATAATGTTTGGTGCAAATATAACAGAATATGAAAATAAAAAAAAACAAAATATATCACACAGTAACTCCCTTAAAACTAAAATTAATATTATTGAAAGTGTATTAAATAATATTATTAATACAAATTTTGATTCGAATATGAATAATATTTTTAATGTATATAATTTAAAACTGAAGGAACTACACGAAAAAATAAATGACAACATAAAAAACATAGAAATTGTTAAAAAAAATAAGTCAATCGTGCTACCAATGAGTACACAGTATAGTACACACACTAAACAACCACCATCAAAAATGTCATTCTATGGACTGTAAGTAAACTATTCATATTATTTATTTATTATTTAACTAAAATATATCTTAAAAATTATTTCAGCTCCACATTTGATTATTTTTTAGACAGCCAATTAGCATTTAATGGGTTGATGAGATTATAAATTCCTGATATAATTTTTAATTTATATTTTTACTAACATTTTTAATTTATATTTTTATTAACATTTTTTTTTCTATTATGAATGTATTTTTATTAAGTAGACTTTGGGTTGAAGTCCCATTTTTTTATATTATAATTTTAGATTATGAGTGAAACGATGAATGTATTTTTTATTAAGTAGACTTTGGGTTGAAGTCCCATTTTTTTATATTATAATTTTAGATTATGAGTGAAACGATGAATGTATTTTTTATTAAGTATACTTTGGGTTGAAATCATTATACAATTTTTTGATAACATTTTTTTTATATTATATATTTGTCATTGATGTATACAAATAATATGATTTATAATGAATTTTTTTTATAAATAATTAGGATTTATTTTTTATATATTTTTTATATTATATTTTAAATTAACTATATCACTGATTTTTAACAGATTGTGCAATCTGTTAACATATTGTGGGACCAGACACATTTCTACGGACAAATAATAAAGGAGTGATTTTGAACAAACAGTACACGGATATTGTGGTAGTGGACACATTTCTACGGACAAATAATAAAGGAGTGATTTTGAACAAACAGTACACGGATATTGTGGTAGTGGACACATTTCTACGGACAAATAATAAAGGAGTGATTTTGAACAAACAGTACACGGATATTGTGGTAGTGGACACATTTCTACGGACAAATATTACTTATACACTTATACACATTATCTCAGGTTTACATTTAGGTATAATGTGTTAGTAAGTATATTATTTTCAAATTACTTGTTTATCTGTGTACATCAAGGGTAGTGACAAAAGTTTACGACGTATACGTTGTTGGCTTATCAGTCAGGTGTCAACATTTGAGGTCATTATGTGTACCTGAAACAAAAAAGCTTTTTTTATAAAACTGTATTTGTGKTAGTATTACATTTAATGTATTACTTWTTGACGATGTCGGAAGAGTGCTATTGACATACCAAATGATAGTTCGCACAATKGACATTTATAAGGTTTGAGGTGCAAATGTACATCATTAGTGTGTATTTTCAATTGTTTTTCAGTTGCATATGTTTTGGTACAATGRAGACATTTAATTAACTCATGTTTGATATGTRTGGTTTTTTGGTGATAATTCAGATCACTTATTTGAAGAAAAKAACTTTTGCACATCTTAMATTTATACCTCTTCCTGCGAGAGTTGTGTATTTCTTTATGTCTTTTAACTGATTTTTGAGACGAAAGTTTTTTATTGCATATTTTACAACTATTAACCTTATTGGGRGAATGTGTTATTATATGTTTTTGGAACCAACCATGTTTTTTGTACTTTTTTTGGCATATACTGCAATGGTAGCGGTCATCCTCGATTGGACACTTATCACTGGGTGTAGCCTCTACATCACACCTTTTAACAATGATGGGACTT